AAAGAAGTCGCTGGAGGTCAGACCTAGAGAATACGGTGGATGCGGAACAATTCGAAGCCCAATTCTTGCAATTCTGCATCTTTCCATTGATTTATTACACGATGCGTTGTCTTGAAGAAATTTTTTTTTTTCATATGCAGTCGATTCTTTGCAATTTTGCCCTTCAAACGCTCCAATGATGATTTATAATATTCACTGTCGATGGTATTTCTCTTTTCAAGATAGTCGATGAATATTACACCAGGCACATCCCAAAATACCGAGACCGTAACCTTTCCAACCGATTGTTGTGCTTTCGAGCACTCTGGTCAAGGTTCACCAGTTGTTCTCTACTCAGATAACGATCGTGTTGATTCCGGAGTGAAGTGACAGATCCATGTTTCATCCATTGTCACATATTGACGCAAAAATTCAGATGTGTTGTTTGAACATGGCCAAACACTGCTCACAATCATCAAGACGTTCTTGTTTTTGGTCAACAGTGAGCTCGCGCGGCCCCCACTTCGAACAGAGCTTTTTCATAGTCAAATGCTCATGCAATATAAAGCTAACACTTTCTACTGATATCTTTACAATATCAGCTAACTCACGCAACTTCACTTTTCGATCATTCAAAATGATTTTGTGGATATTTTTTGTGTTTTCTGGTGTTACTCCGTTCTGTATCATCTGTGTCTCTACGACCCCGTTTGAAGTCAGCAAACCAAAATTTGATTGTTGTTTCTGATGAAGCAAAGTCCTTATAACACTTTTCAAGCCATTGCTTCGCTTGAACGGTATTTTTTTCCACCAAGAAACAATGTAATATTATAACACGAAATTGTTTTTGATCCATTGTTTTGAAAATAACAAAAAGAGGATCACACTTAGCACAATATCTCACAAACTCATCAGTAGAAATTTCAACAAATTTTTCTTAAAGGTTAGTACTAATTGAAAAAGCGATGGATGAGACTAGCTTCATCTGTGTGTTAGGCCCGAGACTTTTTACAAAAGGCAGTATGTGAAAGCAAATATCTATAGATGGGATGGGACTATCCAATATTTATGTGTCATTCTAAATAACTCTGCCGAAGAGTTAGCACGTCTTCATTTTTATATCCTATCCTATCACCTATCCTAACACCAAACCAATCACTTGGTTATTGAAACACGTGTCGGGGTATAAAAAAATAACGATTGGTGGTGTTGGAATAAAACTCCAGTAATATTCAAAAGTGATGTAATGAATAACTGAAACTGATTCCTCTCACAGTCGTTCTCTTCGGAGCACATTGTGTCTTAGAATAGCTTTCTGTGATAAATAATATCGCATATATTCCTGCAGAGGAACCTACACTTGCCAAAATTCATTCACTATTAATATTTAAGCGATAAAACGTTTTCCTGTTGTTTCAGACACTTTCGATCTGGAGCCGATGTAACATTCCACGTGTACAGTTCAAAGAAGGAAGAGAGACGTCTGAGATCGATCTTGAATAAATGGGCAGACAGGGGATATGTCGGCAATATAACAATTTCAGAAAAAGATACCACTTTGAGGTCTTTGCTGTCCCTTGAGGTAAGTGAATACGTCGTTGTGATGTCAACTGTATTTATGTCTTGTCCAGACACCGAATGAAAGATGAAAGAGAAATATATTTACCCGTTTGTTTGTGAAACGTGAGTTTGAGAGTTTGTAACAACAGGAAGTGATGTATGTTACTGAATTCTAAATGGTGGAAACATTTTTAATTTGTTTAATTACCTTGGTATTGTCCAACATTTACATTCATTTTGTGTTTTATTTTTGCACGAGGTTTTCTCTGTGAAGCGATCCTGCGAATCGCATAAATCATAAAGGTTTCACGAAGCGTATTTCTAGTCAGATAGAACGCACTTTTTTGGGAGGTAGTAGAACTCAAGGAGTTTGCGTTTTACTTGAAACTGGACGGAAACTTCTGCTAAAAGCAAGAATGGCTATTGTAGTAGATTATGTATGGGGAAAACATTATGCTGGAAAATGTCGGTTTTATTCACTTTGATATGTTTTATCCACTTTTAAGTGAATGATTGATATATCAATGTGCATGATAGATATATCGCATTTGGCTGTGTGATGATTCAGTTTCATTGGAATCTCCAAAGGACCAGAGGTTGATTTGTTATATAATAACGATAATAATGAAAAATTTCATTAGTAGATCAAAACTGAAATGACAATAGCGCCAGAGAAAATTTCAAAGAAAAAAAAGAGAGGAAAGAAAAATAGCATTATTTGTAATCTAGTCATGACTTCACTGGGCATCAAATAAATATTGTTTGAATTTAAAACGAAATGCTGTTGGCGATAATTCTAAAAATGTTCTGTTCAGTTTGAAAATATTGTTGATACAAACTGCGACATTGTAAGAGGAAGAACGTCTGTATATTTCTTTTGTGAGTCTAGGAATAGTAAGCAGTGTTTGACGGCGAATGTTCAGATTATGTCCTGAACTTTAATTTTTTATGAAGATAGGGTGGTGTGCTCGATTTAAATATGCTGTGAAACATACACGCCATATGATGACGTCGCTTGTTGTACATATTGAGCTACTTCAATTGTTTAAGTTTTTCCGATATAGATATTCGACTGAATTTACGTATACCATATGTTAGTCGAACACATTAATTTTGCATTTTCTGTATTCGTCAAGCAAGGACTGTATATCACATCGCAGTGGTTGAAGTGTGAGAGTGCCAAGGAGTCACAGAGCATTTTTTTTACCTCCAATGACAGATACTGTCTTTGCGTATAAATCAGCTTAAGAGATGAATATGCATTCCTCAGTTTATTCGCAATATGTTCTGTGAAACGAATAGATGTATCTATTATTAGTCCCAAATTTTTATGAGAAGATTTGATAGGTATTTCCGTATCACCTATTTTGAAGGCGACTTGATTATTTAATGAGTGTAATATATTTTCTTTGCCAAATATCGTGGCAACAGATTTTTTTTGATTGATTTTCAGAGCATGATCGTTTGATAATTTATGCAAAGAATCAAAATCGGTGTTAATACAATTTATGGCTATTGCCAGATCGGAAAAATTGAATGAAAAATATATCTGGGTATCATCAGCGTAAAAATGGTAGTTACAGTATTTCAAAACGTTCATAAAATTAGAAGTATATATTGTGAATAATAGAGGGCCAAGAATACTACCCTGAGGTACTCCACAACGCAACTTCATAGGAGTGGATTTCTCATCATTGATTTTTACAATTTGTGTTCTATTGTGCAGATACGAAGCCATCAGGGAGCGTGCTGAATTGCTGAATTTAAAGTAATGTAACATTGATAAAAGAATGTCGTGATCTATTAGATCGAATGCCTCCGTATAGTCAAGTAGAATTAGTATGCTCATTTGATTTTTGTCAGTTGCCTCTAAGATGTCGTCCAAAACATCGGCAAGGGCAGTTGCGCAACTTTACCCTTTTCTGAATCCCGATTGTTTGTGTGGTAGGATACTGGTGGTAGATAAAAAGCTACGAATTTGTGTTTCCTTTATCCTTTCAATAACTTTCGACCAAGTTGGTAAAATACTAATCGAACGAAGATCACTGTATTCCATTGGTTGACTTATTTTTGGAATTGGGACGATTTTAGCAAATTTCCATGAGTTGGAAAAATAGTTTTCTGATAGACATTGATTTATTATATGGGTGATGATGGGTATTATAAGAGGGCAGCAGAACTTCAGGTTTTCAACTTCAAAACTGATGTATTTTTGTGAAGTTTCGTCAAAATCCGTTCAGCCGTTTAGGCGTGAAAGAGCCACATACATACATACATACATACACCCAACCTCACAAACTTTCACATTCATATTAGTAGAGATATAAATATATATACTAATTGAAGAGGATGTCTGTTACATCCCTTCACATTTTTTCCAGACAGTTTTGGAATGTTTCCTGACTTCAGATTTGTGCTAGTCATCATTTGTTCTGCAAAAAATATAAGAAAAGGAGGGAGTCACATAGCAAATATTTTTAAATGAAAATTCTCATGGTGCCAAGATTGTATATTTTCAATATTTCAATTTATAGTCAATATCAGATTATGTGGTCTCTTCAAACAATAATTGTAATGAATAACCCTTAGTTTGAAAAGCTGCACGATATCGATTTGTAGTTTATATAATTTTTGTTGATACTTGTTGAGAATTTTTTGGCTTAGGTATCTTGTACATTTATATTCGTTTGTGTTTATGGAGTGTCAACGACAGGAATTGCATTCATTCAATACTATTACATTCGTTTCAGTTCCATTCTTTTCTGTCCTCAAAAATGGTAACACCACGCTGGATATTGAATTATATCTGACAGACATTTATGCAACCTCACAAAGTTATCCCGCAGATGTTTCTCTTCATCCAGCAGCAGGATCATGCTGACATCATTCGAGTATCAAACTGTAAAATGCTTAGGACTCAAACATATTCAACGCAGCTCGACGTTCACCAGTTGCTCTCCACTCAGATAACGATCGTTTTGATTCCGGAGTGAAGTGATGGATTCATGTTTCATCCGTTGTCAACTGTAATAATTATAATAAAAGTAATATCCTCAAATTAAATAATTTATTGATCATTGATGAGATATCGGAAGAAAATATACTGAATGCAGCCTCTAAACTCAAAAATAAATTAACATGTGGCCCGGATAATATACCTTGTCAACTTGTCAAAAAACATATCAATATTTTGAAGTATCCTCTACTCATCATCTTCAACGCCATACTGAAAAAAGAGGTTTGTCCAGAGGAGTGGAAAGTATCACGGATTTGTCCGGTACACAAATCAGATAATTTATTGATCATTGATGAGATATCGGAAGAAAATATACTGAATGCAGCCTCTAAACTCAAAAATAAATCAACATGTGGCCCGGATAATATACCTTGTCAATTTGTCAAAAAACATATCAATATTTTGAAGTATCCTCTACTCATCATCTTCAACGCCATACTGAAAAATGAGGTTTATCCAGAGGAGTGGAAAGTATCACGGATTTGTCCGGTACACGAATCAGGAAATAAATCTGAAATCTCTTACTATCTCTAACTGTATTCTCTAAACTTTTTGAGATTATTTTATTCGATTTGATTTATGCACATGTGAGAAATTCGATATCAGAATTTTAACATGGCTTCATGAAAATGAGGGGAACTGTGTCGAATCTCTGCACATTTACTCAATTCATATTCAACTATTTGGATAATAGATGTCAATTTGATGTAATCTATACAGATTTCAGCAAGGCATTCGATAAAGTTTCCCACCAACAATTAATATCGAAGTTGAATGCATGATATGTACTGCTCTTGGTAGAATCAAATGTGCCATGTCACTTGAACACTTCCAGTGAAAGTATCTATAAAAGAAAGACAAATCTCCAACCTTCCTTCGATGTTGTAGGCTATCAAGGTTGCATGTGATGTTCACGTCTCCAATCAGACGGATTTCCCTTTTCTGGATGGAATGTATCAACTTCAGGGTATGTTCGGGGACAGAGCTCCATGCATGAGAACAATACTCCAAAGAAGGTCTGATATGAGCTTTATTAAGCATCAAAAGTTGCTGATGTGTGTACAGTTTTCTCAAAAGCTCCAAGCTTTTGAGAAGCAGCCTTTGCAATTTCAGCGACATGATTGTGCCATTGTGCCCCAACAAACTTATCGAAGCACGTATGAAACTTTCGTATGAGAGAAAGATTGTTAACTAGCAACAGCTCCAACTCGTGAAGACTGTATCAAAGAGAGATACATACGTTTCAAACACATGGACTAAAAATTCCCGATTTTTTTATCAAAATTGGCCTTATTCATCAACGTAATCTCCATCGAGAGCTACAGAATCATTCCAGCGCAGTTCTTACATTTCAATACCACTTTTGTGGAACGATTCATCTTTTTCTTCAAAATAGGCTCCAGCTTCCACAATAACTTCTTAATTAGAGCAAACATTTTTACCAATGAGCATTTTTTTTGAGGTCTGCGAACAGAAAGAAGTCGCTGGAAGTCAGACCTAGAGAATACGATGGATGCGGAAGCACATCCCAAAATACCGAGACCGTAACCTTTCCAGCCGATTGTTGTGCTTTCGAGCACTCTGGACAAGGTTCACCAGTTGTTGTCCACTCAGATGACGATCGTTTTGATTCCGGAGTGAAGTGATAGATCCATGTTTCATCCATTGTCACATATTGACGCAAAAATTAAGATGTGTTGTTTAAACATGGCCAAACACTGCTCACAATCATCAAGACGTTCTTGTTTTTGGTCAACAGTGAGCTCGCGCGACCCCCACTTCGAACAGAGCTTTCTCATAGTCAAATGCTCATGCAATATAAAGCTAACACTTTCTTCTGATATCTTTACAATATCAGCTAACTCACGCAACTTCACTTTTCGATCATTCAAAATGATTTTGTGGATATTTTTTGTGTTTTCTGGTGTTACTCCGTTCTGCATCATCTGTGTCTCTACGACCCCGTTTGAAGTCAGCAAACCAAAATTTGATTGTTGTTTCTGATGAAGCAAAGTCCTTATAACACTTTTCAAGCCATTGCTTCGCTTGAACGGTATTTTTTTCCACCAAGAAACAATGTAATATTATAACACGAAATTGTTTTTGATCCATTGTTTTGAAAATAACAAAAAGAGGATCACACTTAGCACAATATCTCACAAACTCATCAGTAGAAATTTCAACAAATTTTTCTTAAAGGTTAGTACTAATTGAAAAAGCGATGGATGAGACTAGCTTCATCTGTGTGTTAGGCCCGAGACTTTTTACAAAAGGCAGTATGTGAAAGCAAATATCTATAGATGGGATGGGACTATCCAATATTTATGTGTCATTCTAAATAACTCTGCCGAAGAGTTAGCACGTCTTCATTTTTATATCCTATCCTATCACCTATCCTAACACCAAACCAATCACTTGGTTATTGAAACACGTGTCGGGGTATAAAAAAATAACGATTGGTGGTGTTGGAATAAAACTCCAGTAATATTCAAAAGTGATGTAATGAATAACTGAAACTGATTCCTCTCACAGTCGTTCTCTTCGGAGCACATTGTGTCTTAGAATAGCTTTCTGTGATAAATAATATCGCATATATTCCTGCAGAGGAACCTACACTTGCCAAAATTCATTCACTATTAATATTTAAGCGATAAAACGTTTTCCTGTTGTTTCAGACACTTTCGATCTGGAGCCGATGTAACATTCCACGTGTACAGTTCAAAGAAGGAAGAGAGACGTCTGAGATCGATCTTGAATAAATGGGCAGACAGGGGATATGTCGGCAATATAACAATTTCAGAAAAAGATACCACTTTGAGGTCTTTGCTGTCCCTTGAGGTAAGTGAATACGTCGTTGTGATGTCAACTGTATTTATGTCTTGTCCAGACACCGAATGAAAGATGAAAGAGAAATATATTTACCCGTTTGTTTGTGAAACGTGAGTTTGAGAGTTTGTAACAATTGGAAGTGATGTATGTTACTGAATTCTAAATGGTGGAAACATTTTTAATTTGTTTAATTCGAAAGCAAGACTGGCTAAATAAAAATGGATTTAAACCATGATTGGCGATTGGAAAATATTTCATGTTTTTGTTGTTGACTAACTTCAATGTTCTTGAATCGAGTCACTATTGAATTTTTTGAGTTTCGATGAATTTATTTTATTCAACTGGTGAAACAGACAAAAATAGTAAAGATTCTTCAAATGATATTCAGTTGTAATTCCATAGTACTTCCAGCCTGTTAGCTGGCAGTAAATTGCCAAAAAAGGCACTTTTCAATATGAAGATTGAACAAATTGTCTTTTTGCTTTCTACTTCTCCACCTTGACACAAAAAATGTGGGAAAATTCCAGAGAAAAGGTAAGGCAATAAAGTTCAAAATAAACTCTACACAAATATATTTAGACCTTGCATAGAAGTCTTTTTCAGGAACAAACTGAAAGAAAAAGCCTTTTTGAAACAATTGATTTCACATGAATATTGAATTATAAACGAATGCTTTTTTCCATTCAGTTTGTACCCCAAACATTCGTATGGAATTGAAGTAGATTCCATCCACAATATGGAAGAGTATTGATATAAAATTTCACTCGACATAGAAATCTATCCACCTCAAGGTACTAGTAGAAGTATAACAGTTTTCAAAGATATGTATGCCTATCAATTGAATACAATTTTCCTCGAATTAGAATAATTACTGGTGGTTCACATGTTTTTTGCTTATAACTACCAATAATTTCTTCAAAAGAAATATAACTAATGTCTTCGTTGTGAAAATATTTTTTTCTTTTTCAAATGAAGTAGCATCAAAAATACTATTATTCAAAACTCACATAAATATTTTATTATAAATTGGTCATAACTATTAGTTATTAACTGACAAAATGTTGAAGAATATTCAACAGTGCATGAGTATTTCAAGTTGTAAAACTTGAAAGCCCTGCTCTGCTATTGCTAAAAAATGAACATCAGAAAAGATCAAGTATGTTGCATATGAATTTTACGAATTATTGAATTATTCCATAATTCAATTCACAATAACATTTTTTTTCTGATTTCGAGTCGAAAAATATATTTTTACTCAATACATATGTATATCAACTGGCTCATTATTCGAATCTTCTGAACTCTTTCAAACTTACAAAAAACTAATTTCTAATATTTGTGTACAGAATAATAAGAATGTAGGAGAATTTCAATTGTTTGACACATGAAAAATGTTTTTGGGATTCTCACATGAATAATTTGTATGTTTCCCTAACCTATGATGATAATGTTCGTCCGTATTGATCTATTTTGTACTTAGCTTATACAGATTTTGTTGAAACACGATTATTTATAAAACAATTTCACAATAATGTTCCAATCAAATCATATTAAAAATCAAGGTCACAGATATTTTCCTCGGTTTTTTCAGATTTCTTAGTTTTTTTTTTATATCCTTCAGTGTTCACAATTGTATTTTCAATCGAATTATGAGCATTCACATCAAACAATATAGTTTCAGATAGGGATAAATGTTAATTCAAATTAGAATCAATAAAATTGATCATCTGATTTATCAAAAGATGCAATATGAAAGAAATAATACAAAAATTGAAATGAAAATGATAAAAATACTTTGAAATTGAGTTACTCACTGTCCACAATCACAATTTCATCTTCCTTCCGTTTGATTTTTTTATTATCTACAATAAGATGTTTTCTAACTCGTCCAAATATTTTGGCACAGTTTTTTCTACGTTTGTTATCCAAAGGAACGAGTTGAAGTAACTCAATTCTTGATTTTATGTCTTTATGGCATATTGGTTTCCTTGTGTAGTAGGGAAGCCCTAATATCAATAGGGAAATAACGGAATTTTCAGAGAGAGAATTTTCTGCTCAGTATAACAACCGGGTAAATTTTCGTTTTGTGGACACACGGCGATTTTGAAAAAATTCAGAGCTTTATCACATTTCGTTATGTTATCTTCATCAAACGTCACCATGAAAGAATTTTTCCATTCCTCCCAAGAAAATGATCGGGATTTACTGAACGTTTGTTCATATACGGGAAATACCGGATAAGTTGAATCTCAAATGATGTATTTTCTGATCGTCTGTAGTCCATTTGTTTGACACGGCCATGAATTCATATTATTTTATCCATGTATTTGGGTTATCATGTTTAATGTTAAATGGGTTGATTTTAATAATTTTGGAATTGTCTGTCACCAATGACAGCCATTTTGACATCATATAGTCGAGTGCTTCTCTGCCAATAACTAGTTTGGCTTCCAGGTCCCCCTTAACTCCACTGCTTTCATTATAATTGATCTGAAGTATTTTGTTTTCCGACTGCGCCACATTGTAATAAACTTTTAGAGAAACTAGAGGATGAATTCCTAACTAATAACTTCAGATAATGTGGTGCTGCAGGTTTTTCCGGGTTTTCCTGCAGCTGAAAAAGCAACTGCGCCACTGGAATCAATCAAGTCGCCCCGGAGCGCCAATGAATTTTTACTGTATTTTTACAATACTGGTTTTTTATATCACCATGGTAATAGGAATATTTGAAAAAGAAGTAGGTATACATAGTGTTCATATACTACAAAAATGATGTATATTTTTTGTAAATATTGAACAACAAAACTATATAAGATAACCTAGCATATGTTATACACCGAAAAAATCATCCCTACTTTATCAGCGTCCATTTCCAAACACAATTCCACTATAAAGCGAATGTTCACCTCATCAAGGAAAGTTAGGAGTTCATTTCTATCGTATTTTTCAGTTGAAACTTCGTACTAGCTAGTTTATCGTTATTCAGAGATTTTGAAAACGCTCTACTCTACTTTTTTCAACCATAGACTTGATAATATATGGACTGGGCATGACCTCACTTCTACATATCATTCCACCTTCAGATCACAGATCGTCCTGACCACTGCGTCACAGCATCATGTTTTAAATCAAATCCCAAAATTTTCAAATGGATATATGCAACACGTGAAACATCGTGACGTTATCAAGCGTATGAGTGACGTAAATGCCAGGACATGGATTTCTCCATCTTTTTCTGTTGTTGGAGTCAATGTTATCTTTTCAATGGCCAGTCCATATTTATCATAACGTTATGTTTTCAATACTGTTACGGAAAAGTGTTCCTTGTCATTTATTTCTCGGCTTCAGGTTCTCACGAAAAATGTCGATTTTTCTTCCCATAATCCATTAAAGGAAAACAGAATGTAAATTGCATTATGTGCATCTTGACTTCATTCTCAAGGAAGGGCATTGTAGACGTTCCGAATATCCTTTTATCCTAATTGTTCATTATTTTACCCATGCATCAACTCTTCCATTAGTATATAAATTCGTTAAGTACCATCACGCCACACTTTACTGAATATTGAAAAGATGCATCTCACGGAAAAACAGGTTTGAAACTTCAACGGCTCAGTGAAGATGACATCATTGAATACTTTTGTTAATGAAACGGACCAGTGAATTTAATATTAATTGAACTTCAAACAAAATATTCAACTTCTTAATTTGCTTTGTGCTCCAGTTCTTTCGTGAATTATATGCTTGCAAGTCCTTTTGAGACATATTTTCCCAACAACTTTCTGAAAATGAATTTCCCAACTGTTTCTTAATAGCGAGGGTACTTTCACAAGGTTTTCTTTTGAAAAGTTTGTATAGCTTGAATTACTCTCCTTAAGTTTTTATCTTCAGTTTTACGGGTCGATGATGAATAACGAAGGCAATAATTATATCAAATTCTTCTACGCATGATTGACGTACGTAAATTCCGAAAGCATTCCTATAAAGCTAGCATCGTTAAGATAAATGTCTCCAAACGGGATACAATAATGTCAGGTCCGACAATTCCATTTTCTGCTTTGATAAGATTGTTGGGGATTAAAATGGACACCAATATGTTTTGGCACAATCATGTCGCTGGAATTGCAAAAGCCGCTTCTCAGAAACTTGGAACACTGTTCAGAACGAGAAAACTGTACACACTTCAGCTAATTTTGATGCTTTATAAAACACAGATAAGACCTTCTTTGGAGTATTGTTCCCCTGAAGCTGCTGGATTCCGTCCAGAAAAGAACCATCCGCCTGATTGGAGACGCGAACATCACATCGAAGGAAGGTTGGAGACTTGTCGTTCTTCTATAAATACTTTCACAGGAAGTGTTCATGTGACTTGGCACATTTGATTCCACCAAGAGCGTTACAAATCAGAAATACGCGACGGACTGTGGCTGCTCATCGTTTTGAAGTAAACTCAGTACACCTCGAACTTTACTGTTCAAGAACTCTTTCATTTGGGGAACTGCATTCATATGGAATAAACTTCCTGAGAACCTTTTTCCATATGGATTCAATCTTCAGCGATTCAAATCCAATGTGAATCACTACTTTCGCATAGGCACCGCTCTTAGAGCGCCTTAACGATTTCCCGGTACTGCTTGTGTCGTCTTTAAATGATTTGAATGATCCATAACTCACAATTTTGAACCAATCACAAGTAACCAGATTCATAAGTGACTACCTTCAAGGCCAATTACAAATGAGCAAACTCATAACTTTGCAGTCCAACGAAGCATTTGTGGTTCACCTTGCCCTGCTGATGAGACTCATAAAGGGTCGAAACATCACTACTACTACTATTTCTTGTTTACATCAATAGTATATGTTCCATCAACAATTTGGGAGGTCATCTCATATCATATGCGGACGACACAGCACTCATATTCACAGGTAGTAGTTGGAAGGAGGCATTTGAGAAATCAGAGATATCCAGATATGGCTTGATCACCACCTTCTGAGTCAGAATATGAAAAAAACTAAATTTATCACATTCACCCGATCAGCAAAGAAATAACATAATCCATATACATGACGGAGACTGTACTAATACAACAAACTGCAATTGTGCTGTTATAGAAAGAACGAAAATGATTTAGTATCTGGGAGTTATTGTGGATCGGCATATGAGATGGAATGACCACATAAACTATGTTGTAGAATGGCTCAGACTTTCAACTGAAAAATTCTATGAGTTGTGAAATATTCTGGAGTACAACAATGTAATCATCATATACCAGCAGAATATACTCTAGCAGAATCTGTAATAAGATATTGTATTGCTGCCTGGGGTGGTACTTTTAACAATTCCCTCAATATCCTCCAGATATCTCAGAATACAGTCTTGAAAATATTATTAAAAAAACATAAACTTTAACGAATCTCTGTGTGAGGAAACGCAATTACTGAAAACGAGAGAACTCCATATCCACCATTGTTTAACGTGGGTGTACACAAATGAATTCACACTTCAATCAACAAACAAAGAAAAACAAACAAGATTCGTTACTAGTTCATCAGTAAACATACCAGCATTTAATAAAAGTCACACATAGGGATGTATTTTCTATTATGGTCCCAAATTATTGAATCTTCTGCCAGTTAGCATAAAAAACAAACATAAAGAATGTTCAGCATGCTCTTCTTCATTCCCAATATTCAACGAATTTCTATATACTCTCGAAGAGAGTCGCATCACGTTGGAAGTGCTTTCAGCTAACATCGGTCTGAACTCAGTTGTTACTGTATCATCAGTGAGCTTACTAGAGGCTGTCACCATTGTGGACCTCTCAATTCGGGGCCTCCTGGCCTCTTGTACCTCCGGTGGCGACGGAGTTATGACTGACCTAGGTCTCTTTCTTCATTCCAGCTCTGGTCCGCAAGGGGGGGGTCCCTGCAGATCCCATGCTAGTGGTAGGAGGCAAAGTGCCAACCAATTCCATGTTTGAAGGGCCGGCAACTTGGAAAGTGTGCATCACCGGCCTCTTCGATGTTATTAATAATGGCGAAGGCGCCGGTACCGGGATAGCTGCGACAGGAGTCTGAAACAGCAAGCCATCGCTAGCCGTAGTGTCATCCAGCAATGCTGAAGCTGTTGGGGTGGAGTAAGTAGTTGTTTCCAACTCGATTTCTTCGGCACCCGATGTAACATTTCCGTCAAAATGTTCCGGACCAGTTGTGACGCCCGTTAGGGAGATATGATGTAGAAGCTCTCCCTCTTTGTCATGTTCCACTGCGCCAAGTTCAGCCGTTGTTCTCCTGTCTTTTTCTAATGTCGTCGGGGTCGGCACTGCATCCACTTGAGCCGTTGGTGTATTGGCTTTATCATTCCAGGGGTTGCGGTTTCCGGCAAGGATACCAGTTAAAGAATTCCTCCTCGCACTATCCCTGGCTTCGGCCAATAGCGTGGCGTACAGGGGTTTGCAACGCTTATGGCGGATCTGATCTTTTGTCAGCTTCGTTGCACTTTCCATGTATGATATAAATGGGCGGCCTGGCGGTGTGGTTGCTTCAATAGCGGCCAGGCGTCTCATCACAGCTGACTCTTCCTCAGGGATCCGTATCTGCAACTCCTGATGGTATTTCTCAGGGTGAGCCCTTCTCTCGTGTAATCTGACGTCCCCGAAAGTTTCGTAAAATTTTCCACAGTGCATGCAGTGCTGCCTGTCTCTAATTCCACAAGTTTGCTTGTGGCGCAGTAACGCTCGCTGTGAGCCACTTATTTGACCACACTTGTCACACTGGTGTGGCTCCAGTGGTGCGCGGAGTGAGCCCTGTCCACCGGTTTGGGTCACGGTAACAGTTTTCTTCGTACTTTGCTCACTCCTGAGCGAATCCGGGCCGAAAACTGTATATGTAATATATAAAAATTATACCTATAATGATGATAATAATCACTATCTCATGCTCGATCACGAATGTTCTGTTATAAATCTTCGATTTCAACTGACTAGTTGCCTAAAACATGCAGAGACAGAGATGAGAGAAATCCCATTTGAAGGTCGATGTCGAAAGTAAGCTCACAATGGACCGTCTTTGAGAGCCTTTTTTACTATGGATATCTCTGGTTTGATTCTTCTTTGGATCACATAACTGGCATCTTTGTGAATCCAATATGCAATAAAATGCAATAAATGAATGAATCCAATGCAATTAAACATGCAGAGACAGAGATGAGAGAAATCCCATTTGAAGGTCGATGTCGAAAGTAAGCTTCACAATGGACCGTCTTTGAGAGCCTTTTTTATCATGGATATCTCTGGTTTGATTCTTCTGTGGATCACATTACTGGCATCTTTGTGAATCCTGTTCATAGGAATTTCAAAGTTATTAATGAATAGTTGACAGTAATAGTAGTAAAACGCAACACGTGTTTCGCAATACAATAGCTCCTTTGTGCCGATTCTCTCACGAGTAGTGGAGAATGAAATCAGCCAAGAGCAATTTGAACAATTAATTTGGTCAAACAATTCGTTCAAAACAAATTCAACTGACAAATTCACAAATACATTAAAAATTCCCAAAATGTACACAGGCATCACTTCGTAATTTCGTCGATAATGTTCAATAGTGATTTCAGTAGCTGAAGGGAATTGGTCTCCGCAATATACTAACAGTAAATCACTTGGAATACCAGCTGAAAAACAATGCATGATCTTTTTTCCATTAGCATACCAGCATCCAAAAACTCCGCGTATATTCGTCTCGAGCATCCCATTCATTACACTTTATTGTTTCAGAGCTTGGCAATAAATCAAGAAGGGATAATAAGGGAGAACGACGAGTTCATACTGAGTTGCGTGGCGAGAGGATCTCCTACGATGAGTTTTCGTTGGTTTAAGGATGGAATTCCCATCAACGTGACTTCGACCAGGTAATTACGTTGTTGACTTCGCGTTAACTATTTTTCGCTACTCCGCATTTAGTGAGTAATGAGGTTTACTCGAGAAGTGCAAGTTTACTGTAGTCAAAATGGTTTTGAAGGTATGATGAAAAAATATGCCAAAACATATGGAAATGAATGATCATATAATATGGCTTAAGTATAACTTTTCGGATCATTTCAAAAATTATATAGGCACAATGAAATGAATACACAATACACGTAGGTCAAAAATAGTTTCAACTTAATTTTTGTTCTGTATCTGAATGCGAAAATTGTTAATACGTGGTATGGCTAGATTCATTGTATAACTTTCTGATTTTTTTCTTTACAATTTACACCTTACACATTTTATAAACTCCATATCCACACTTTTCCATTTGAATTTTCTACTGTTCAGAACTGTCTTTCAAATTTATTTCTGAAAGCATTTTCATAGTTTCCGTCACTGATTCCTTCAAAACTTCCTCTGTACCAAATCTAGTTCTTTCGAATATCTCCTGCATTTTTGGGAACATAACAAAGTCATATGGAGCTATTTCTGGTAAGCGGGTGGTTGTTCCAACATGAAAGTGCTATGCTTAACCAAAAGTGACATATTGTATACATGATGTATACAACATCAGAACCTACTTCAGATCCGGAAACACTATCCGTAGCAGCCTCACGAAAAACAGGCTACCAAACGCAGACTGCGATTCCAAGAATTGCATTTACCGGATACGATGATTATGCGGAAAACCCTATTTCTTTGAAACTAAAAGGCCATTGAAAGTTCACATTGCCGAGCACAAGAAACACACACGGCGAGGGAAAATCAGCAAATCAGGAATAGCGGAGCATGTTTCGTCCCATCAACATAACATCGAGTGGTCCCAAGCTGATATCATACACAGGGAGGAACACTGGTTTAGGAGGAAATTCAAAGAAGCCGCATATATGTAATTTCTGAAAGCATTTTCATAGTTTCCGTCACTGATTCCTTCAAAACTTCCTCCTCTGTATCAAATCTAGTTCTTTCGAATATCTCCTGCATTTTTGGGAACATAGCAAAGTCATATGGAGCTATTTCTGGTAAGCGGGTGGTTGTTCCAACAAGAAAGTGCTATGCTTAACCAAAAGTGACATATTGTATACATGATGTATACAACATCAGTACCTGCTTCAGATCCGGAAACACTATCCGTAGCAGCCTCACGAAAAACAGGCTACCAAACGCAGACTGCGATTCCAAGAATTGCATTTACCGGATACGCTGATTGTGCGGAAAACCCTATTTCTTTGAAACTGAAAGGCCATTGAAAGTTCGCATTGCCGAGCACAAGAAACACACACGGCGAGGGAAAATCAGCAAATCAGGAATAGCAGAGCATGTTTGGTCCCATCAACATAACATCGAGTGGTCCCAAGCTGATATCATACACAGGGAGGAACACTGGTTTAGGAGGAAATTCAAAGAAGCCGCATATATGTTTTACAACAATGTATTCAGCCAAGCTAGCGTAGAGATATGCAACATATGGAAATCCATCATCAAGCGAAAAATGGCAACTCCTGCCAAACGGTCATCTCCCGGGAAACCGGTAAAGCGGAAAGAGGAAAGAAAAGATAAGTGAATGTACTCGAATGTCATTTCTCGAAGAAATCAGTCGAGTCATCACCTGAAGAAGTTGTGGATACTAATAGTCGACACATGCTATGAAGGGCCGTATTGATCTATATTCAATGCACAATGTATTTGAAGTGCTTGATTGGATTAATTGGATTAATACTGTTTTGCTTAAAATCGCCTCGTATTGCATGGCGGACTTTTTTGTTGACCTTTCCAAGGTGTACAATACTGTTATACACTTTATTATCTATCTCGTAGGGTTCAGCCTGCGTTTGCAATATAAACGCAAAAAATGTGTTTATCTATGACATCACATCAGAAACCTCTAAAATTATCAGTGTTTTTCTACTATATTATGCATGTTATATACATACAAACTTTCCTTTTGAATCACTCTATCTATTTAATAAAACTGCATCAGAATCTGTTGCGTAGTTTCAAAGATCCAAACATACATCCGGACAGACAACGGGAAGGGAATACTAGGAATTAATTTATTTATGTATATGTATTATGTATAGTGATTTCTACAGTCTCGTTAATGAAAGATATACTCAATCGGTGATCTAGATAGATGATATTGAATATTTTATCGCCACTAACCAGTCCAGTTATTTTCTGGACATACCTGTTGAAATTGTAATATTCGAGTTTCATCGATTTTCTCTTTGTCCCGAACGTGCCTCAAATAGTTTTGAATATATTAGATACTGTTCACAATATCTGAAAGGAAATGTTTTTCTTTTTTTTCTTCAACAAAAATCTTTTGATAAGTAACATTGGAACCCTCTGACGTGAAATGTATTCATTAAATATATTTTTTACACCAGAACAAAAATGCTGCATCAACACTTCTCTGTTAACCTAAGTAACATCTACAGGTATGATTAATTATGAACCAACAAAAAATTTGATCTTGATAATGGTGACATATCCATCCATTTCTCAACTTGACGATCCCATTATTATGATGCAGGTTAACTGGTACAATAATTATGGACTGCGTCAGGGATATTCGTAGAAATGTTTAAATTTTTTTTCTCTTCATTGCCGTTAACCTCTTCTTGTCAGAACAAGGTTTTTGTGGTCAGGAAGTAGGTAAGCTTCATTACTTGAAACTTCTAGTAGCTATTTTTTCATCTAATTTGTATCCTATTCTATCGTTAATCATAATCTGTATTATTGAAATTGTTATCAACCTGGTAAATCCAAATTTTCTCAAGGAATTTCGGTTTCATCATATATTCAATATCCTCTTGATTGATTTCCGTTTTTGGAGCTTTTGATGAACTTATTATTTTTTCAATCGTCAGTCCCTTGATTTTAACCTTCATATACGAAACAGTAATTTGAAGGTCGAACTTCAATAGTTCTTGTGAGATTTCCACTATATAATACCTTCATCAAGCGTTTTCATTCATGATTTCCATCATGTATCTGCCAATTCCATCATATTTCTGTACAGTGATTGAGGTTTTTATACAGTGTGTAAAAGCCAAATGGAATGAATTTGCTATTTCGTTAGTTTAAAACGCCCTGTCAATTTGTTTTGTATGTTACAACATCAGTTGTTCAGTATTTTACTTTAAGTTTAAAGTTCGTTAACTTCAAGTCTGACAAATGGTTTGATTAACGGAAATGCATTACATAACAGTTTCACAAATGATTGGTTACGGAGATAAAACCCGAACACAACAGGAACTAGCTCGCATATTTCATGAGAAATTTACTAATTCACCGCCCATATCTCAAGGAATAATAAGCAAAATAGAGCAGTTTCGCGAGCTTGGTCGTGTGGTATTAAACCATATCATTGGCCGTTTTTCATTGAGGGCAACTTGAATGACAATAATTATTTGGCACTACTTCAAAATGGTGTCATTCCAAGTTTAGCAAATTCATTTTCTGTTCCAGAAAATCCTCAAGTTTTAGCAGGATGGAGCACTACCGCATTACCAAGTTAATGTCCGGCAATACCTTTATATATTTTCCAATCGGTGGATAGGGAGGCCAGGATCGATTGAATGGCCAGCGCGATCACCTGATCTTTCATCATTAGATTTCTTTTTATGGGGATATGTAAAGAGCAAAGTGTAGAAAACTAAACCTTCAGATTAGAATGACTTGAAAGAACGAATAACGACTGCGAATAAGTTGGTTATGCCTGATATGTTAAATAATGTTAGGACACAGTTTTATTCGAGATTAGGAGATTGCCAAGACGTTCGCGGTGAACATTTTGAACATCTACTTCGTTAACATCCATAGTTCTTTTTTGTAATCTACATTTCATTACGTTCCGCATTACATTTTAGTTTTTGAGTGTATTTTACCGAATTTCGGTAACCACATGATTTTAATTCATTTTACTTTAATTGTTGCAATAAACTTGAAAGGTTGGCATTGAACAAATATTCACAGTGTTGTAAGACGATTACTATACATTATTTTCTGTGTTATTGTCGTCTGCTATCAGACCATGAAATGAATGGAGATATATCATGGGCTGGTGTTTCTGACAATTTGTTGTTGGATCGAGCAACATTCTGGCAAATTGTTTCAAGTTACTAACGTTTACCCGAATTTCACATTCTATTCTCGATGCTTTGCTTCCATTAAATTTCATTTGGTATCATTGAATAAATATATGAAATGTTTCACCTGAAATTTTTTGTGTTTTCAGCCGAAAATGGATAAAACTCATCAAAGACCCACACGTGGCTGACCAGTATACTGCCCTTCTGGCTATTGAATCTGCGCATATTTACGATGGGGGTTTATTCACTTGTCAAATTGAAGATTTCAACATTCAACAATGCCTTTCCAGGGCGGTTGAAATTGGAAAACGGCCAGTTGTCAACATTGAACCCATGAGTATTACAGTGAGAAAGGTGAGTGTGGATAAGAAAATATATTAGTACAGAAATTTGAATACCTACACTAGACTAGTTGCAACAACAAATCAACAGACATACAGAATAATGTACGAAATAAACATTCCGTTTGTTGCACTGAATATTAAGGCATCAGGTACGTTTGAATTTTAATAGTCACTTGAACTTTTTGAAAAAGCCAAAAAAAATTTCACAAATACAGTTCATTTTGCAACAGTTACTTGATTGTATTCACTTTGTATATAATTGAATTTGAATACTGAAAGCTATTATATACGCAAGTAATTTAAATTTTTTCAAAAAATAATACAAGTGAGTGTAGACCCACAGCACTCAGGCCACAGGTCACTAGAAGATATCTCCTTTATATTGGCAGGTGTAGGCCAAGACTCGCCGAACACACACTCTCTTTGGCAACCTTGAGGTGTCTCACGGTGGCCTCTGCGAAGGTTTTGGAATGTGCAGCGATAATACTGTCGTTGCGCGGCTTCTTCAACCTTCTTGGGGTTCCTCCGTGGAGGTGTACAGGGACAGCCGGTTCCTTGCCTTTATTCATGGCGGAGCTCTTGGCACCCGCCGCAGGAAGTGCCCTTGCTGTTGGAGGCACTGCTATGTCCAGTCTCATTCCAAGCAGTAGATTGGGGTGGAAATTTCTATTCATCTCCAGACACCGCCTTAGATTGAGGTGAGCACTTCTGTCCAGCCTCGGGATTGGTTTTTGTTGTTTCTGTTTCTGTTTGTTTCATTCGTGTGTTTCCACGAGTAGCAAGGGAAGAGTTGGTCACCTCTGGCAGAGCCCTGTATTACCAGAGATAGGCTGATTACAATCCCCAAGGGGATCATTTGAAACCGCATATCACCCTGTGGCCATTCAGCTGTCGGCACGATTCCTTACACCTCAGCTTGGATAGTCTGGTTCATGGTGGAAAGTTTTGCAAAGGCTTTTGGGGAGTTTTAGTTCCCCTCACCCTACTTATTTCTGCCACTGACCAGGAGTCTGGCGACCCCGTCCGTAAGGACACATTGGCTTCCCCGACAGGGCCTCTAGTACCCTGGCCGTTCCCCTATCCGCCACCTGGGGACGCGCCCGATAGGTAGTCCAACCCACGGGATGATCTACACATTTTTGTGAAGAAATTATCCTGAACTTAATCACTTTCTTTCTTCCTTCTGCTAATGCTAAAGAGCATTTTCTCCGAAGTACTATATTCTTGAATAAATTCAATATTGTTCTACTTGCCCTGTCTGCTGTTCAACTTGAACCCATTCTAAGTAAATCTAATGTTTTCTCATGCGTTCTATTGTACTCCGTTTTGATGATATTTGAATTTCAATTATGTAAGAAAAACTTTTTTTTTCTATACGCACACAGTGGACCGTATTGTAGATTTTCATTGTGGTAATTGAGTTTCCCTAGGTTAAACTAGTATAGTTATATATCCTTAAGAAATAGACTTATGCCATCGCGGAAATTTCTGTAAACCTATACAAGACAAACCATACATAGGTAATTTTTTTGCTCTATCTCGAAGGGATTATACATTGTTTTTTATGAGAGGTGCTCAACTTTGCCTCGATGTCGCACAGATTACATTCTATTTCAACAAATTCACAAAAAACAACAAATATGTAGTGATTTTGCTGTGAAATGTTTCTGTTTTCAGGCAAAACATTGGTTCACAAATTTGAATGATGTGGCAGTATTGTACATTCAGTACCTTTTGGGCTGTTTAGTGATTACTTCGATAAGTGTATGAAAGTGTAAAAATGATTTATATTCTTCAAGACAGAATTGAAAAGATCTTAATTTATGGAAAAGTTGGAAAGTGCGCACGAAGGGCGGCATGTCTTTTTAACGAAAGATATTCAAATTGTAATGTAAGTCACCGGTATGTGCTTGATTTGGTGAATAAGTTTCACGAAACTGGTTCAGTAACAAATAAAAAAAGATATAACCCCAGAGTACTAAATGAAGCAGCTCAAAGTTTTGGAAACATTTGCTGCAGAGCTTCTTACGATCAATATTGAAACAGAATGGAATGATACGCGAGACTAAGAAAAGCTTTGAAATGCATAAATTTCATCCTAATGAAATGCAGATTCTTCAAGAGCTCCACGAGGATGATTATGATAGAAGAATAGAGTTTTGTGAAATCATGTCTTATCGAGTCAATACTCTGTTAAACATCTGTTTCAGCGATGGCAATGTTAATAGACAAAATTCTCGATATTTGAGGAACGAAACCCCGCATATTTTTTGAAAGTTCGTACACAACAGCCACAAAAAGTTAATGTTTGGGCTGGTATTCTTGGAAATACCATTATTGGTCCATTAGTTCTGGAAGAAAACTTGACTGACAATCTGTACCTTGAAATGCTTGGAGAAACTATTGATCCTCTTATAACTCACGAGCTAGAAACCTAAATGGATGCAGAAAGTAATAAACTTCTGCAAGAGGATCTGTCACATTTCCAGCAGGACGGTGCTCCACCTCATTATTTTCTTCCCGTCCGGCAGTGGTGGAACGAGAGATTTCCGGATGGATTGATTGGCAGAATGGAGGCAGTTGAGTTGCCTCTGAGATCACCGGATTTAAAACCCTTAGATTTATTTCTTTGTGGGCATTTCAAATCCGTTGTTTATAAAACTCAACCTTCTGATATTCAAGAAATATAACCAACAAATAAAAAATCCCGCGCGTGATACATTTATTCCTATCATTCAAGGTAGTAGATTTGTTTCTTTGTGGGCATTTTAAATCCGTTGTTTATAAAACCCAACCTTCCGATATTCAAGAACAATAACCAACAAATAAAAAATCCCGCGCGTGATACATTTATTCCTGTCATTCAAGGTTTGGAACCGTGTCACCTACTCTTCTTATCCTTTCTATTGAAAGGAGTAAATACAATAATGCATCTCAGAACAGGCAAATTCTCATTTCATGTGTAAGTTTAGAACGCTATTTTTTGAAAACTGCTCATCAAAAAATAAATCATCAGGGTATCATTGGAAGAAGAATTGAACGTCAATTGAAATGATGTGCCACTTAACACCCCTTTCCATTTAAGATTCTAAGGGTAACATCTACCTCTCCTTGACTATAAAGTCGGCCTAGTTTTTCGATTCCTCATTATTCACTGGAAGGAAGATATTAAGCGTGGGAAGTTCTCAAATTGACATCCTGTATAAACGTGTAATGTTTCTGGGGATAATAAACGTGAACAAAAAAACTAGAGAATTTCTTGGACATTTTAACCCCTTTTTCGATTTCTGTGAAGTTTTTCTGTACTCCACTCTCCAACTATAGAATTGGATCCCAATCAATTCTTGTAGACAACGCAAGCAGTGCAAAGAACTCTCAATCTCATTACTTCCTTTGATATCAAGAATTTTCTTTCAATCTTTCGCATCTTTCTGATTCGAAAAATTCCCCCAAAGAGTACAGAAAATAAATTACGGAAGATACCTCTTTTATGCTAAAGTATTCACCCAAGCAAATTTTCACCGGCTGATGCTTTGTGGTGAACAGGGATCCTCCAATAGCTCACAACGTTATACTTCTACGGTCAAATAGTTTCCTTTGTTGTTCCTGAAATCCGGTTTTACTCTTCAACTTCGGACGTTCAGTTTCTGAAAGGAGCCGAGTATCCGCATTTATATTGGGTGAACTGAAGTGCTGTTGTATACTTTGTGTTTTGTTTCCTATGTTTACCGAACATTTCTGCTGACTGTGAAACGTTATTGACTCAGATCTACAAACACGCTGAACATAATGATTATATTCTGGAAATCATAATACTCGTCAATGTTTATTTTGAACAAAATTATTATAATAGGCAAACTTTTGTGTTTCACACAATCCAATATCATCGAACAGACAAGGGGTAGGGAGTCGATTCATATTCAAAATAATTCTCAATTTTCTCTTCAATTTCCTCAGTTACCACATACCTTGAAATAATAATGAAAAGTCATCAGGTATTTTCTATTCGTGGATTTTCATGGTGCGAGTCATAACTAAAAGAGGGACTACTTTATCAGCTCGTGATTATGCAGAAAAAAACTTTTTCAACTCTTTGATTTGTTGAATGTCAGATGCAGTGACTCCAAGGAGAAAGAAGAATGAACATAGTTGAAGATAATTACATAATCGTCAATTTTTGTCTGACCTGTTCTGATGGATGAAAAACGCAAAAACCCATGTTGACTAACTTTGTCTTTGAATAATTTTTTTCTACATTTGGGAATGCAGAAGGAGACGATTCACATTTCATTAATAACAGTGTTCCTAACATTCGTATCTATTTTCAGATCTATTCGAATTATCTTAACCTCAATCCTATTTTTTGGGCTGACTTGACTGGGCTATGAAAGGAAGATATTTTTCAGAAAAGCTCTTTGGTTTTCTGCTTCTTCATGTTCATATAAAAAATTTCCTTGGGAGATTTTTCACATTTATTTTATAAAGATGGTTGGTATAATTTATTTAACTACAATTCACTCCCTATTCTGAACCAGCCGTTTTAGTACTTAGCTCAGTACGCGTTAATGAAAACTGGTCAATGAAAATATGTTCACACAATGTTTTTTTCTAGAGATATTGTTATATTTTTTCCATCGCATCGTCCTATCTGATAATATCTTCTTTCGTTTATTTCGTGTGATTTTCTTCATCAATTATAGTCAGAAACAAATAGTTTGAATCCATTTTTTTCAATTGATTATGGACTCGGAGCTTGTTTTCTCTATTTTCCCATTTTTTTTGCTTTTGTTACTAATCTCATTTTCTGAAACCTATATTTTCAATGGGGATACACACAAAATATCAATTCTGGTTTTTCGATAATTGATCAAAAATGAAATGATTAAATTGCGGTATGGGTTAGATCTAAAGTGAGTGGGTCTATTCGGCCCTCCAACGCAACCCGCAAGCGTTTATTGTGGCTCACACCCATTCACACGCGACCAAATAAACCCAGCTCCTCAACGAAGCTGATTAGTTTGTATGGTAAGTGGTCTTTCAGGTACGGCTCTGCCGAACTCTAAAAACCTGATTCGTTCCCTAGCGGGGCAGGCACAAAGTATACCGGGTGTCCCACATTTTATGTGACAGGCAATATCTGGTTTGTTGAAGGAGATACACAAAAATGTTTCATACAAAAGTTTCAGGAGTTCATGAGAGCTATATTCTGATATAATTTTTAAATATACAGGGTGTTTGGTGTAGGTGCTACAGACCAAAATTCCATTTTTTAAAATAGAACGCCCTGTATATCATTACATATTCAGATGCTACGTTAAATTCTGATATCATTTCATGTTTGGTTTTTGAAATTCGGTTACGGCGTTGTTGAGTTATTGCACTTTTCCTTAAATATAAAGTTTCAAAAAAACTTATTTACTCGTACACGAATCCAGTCTATATCTTTTATTAAATTGAACTAGACTACTACTGAATACAAACCATTATTCTCACCTCTACGATACG